AACAACATAAAATCAATATGAAAAGTTTGGAAAACGAATCTACGTCTCGCTACGAACACACATACGCGAAGATCACAAAAATCGGAGCTAAAACGAAGAAGTTATGAATTAAAAAAGATTTCCTTTAGTAAAATAATAGATTAAATCTAACCTTGAATTTTAAAAGTTGAAAACTTACTTAACAGTAGTAAAAACATGTATATTACTTAATTATGAACCTAACGCAAGTTGAACGGATCAAATCGGAGTTAAAACAGAGATTTTATGGCTAAAACAAAATTAGTGGCAAAACTGTAAATAGGTGAAAACGTATTTTGGATCAAAACAGATGAAACTACGCTTTTCAAAGAAGAAAACGTACTCTAGAAAAAGTGCTATGGACTGCGGGTTTTATAAACAAAAATCCGAGGTTCTCTTTTGAAAGAAAGACAGGGACTGCGGGTTAAGACTTAAATAGTTGTAAGGGTCTTTTTGCAAATCCCACAGCGAAGGAGTACGGGATAATCTAGGCAGTTGGATCAAGATCGGATGGCCATGGTGAGGTGGAGGGGGATGTTCGGACGGAATAGAAACGCCGGCACGGTGGACTCCATTGCCGGCAGCGGAAAACTCGCCGGTGGTCTTCGAAAATGGCCTACAGGCCATGGCAGAGTGAGCCGAGAGCACGGGGAGCAAGTGGGCACCACGACGAGCCCGTTAGTGGGGTCGGAGAGGGCTACGATGGCATGGGGATGAGCTTGGCTCGGTAGGGGTAGCTCAGAGCTTGCTGGGGAACTACGGCGGCATGGTTCCAGTGGTAGAAGGCGAGATAGAGGGATAGATCGTACCCGAGGGTTGCTTACCTTATCGCGGAGCTCGGTAAGGAAGTCACGGAGGTGGAGAAGCGGCGAATCAGTAGTTCAATGGTGGCAGTAGTGCTCAAGCTTGCGGCGGTGTTATTCTAGGGCATGAGGACACGACGGACCTACTCAGCTTCAATGGAAGGTGGCGTGGGGTGTGGCTGCTATTTAAGAGGAGGGGGCAGCTTGGCACGCAAGACACCGGACGGGGCGTGACCGGAGCAGAGTCGGGCGGCGGCGGTGGTGGTGTCCATGCCGGACATAAGACGGAGGAGGAACAAGACCTGATAGGCGGGCCAGCGCTCTCAGCGGAGCAGGGAGAGGAAGCGCGGCGCGGCGTCTGGCTGGGCCTACGCGTTCGGCTGGGCCGCTGCGAAGCGAGCGACGCGGAAGATGGGCCGACGCAGCTTTGACCCAAGCAGGAAGGAGAAACGAAGCGGCTGGCCAGCAGGCTGAGGAAAGTAGGCCTACGGCCAGGAACCAGAGAGAGGAAAATGGCCTTTGGGCCAAAAGCCAAGGGAGGGAGAGAATTTCCTTTTCTATTTTCTAAACCAATTTCCCAATAAATTTTAAATGCAAATTAAAATCAATTTGAAATCCGATTTCAAACCACATAGTACAAAAAAATATGCAGCAGCATAAAAGCATAACCATGTTGCTAAACTTATGATGAATTTTAATTTCAAAAAAGATTATTATTTCCCTAGGTTTAAATGTACACAAAAATTCATAATTAAATGAATTTAATTCTATTTGATGAAAAGCAAATTTTAGGGTGTTCACTTCTTCTTTGTCTTGTGCGTGGGCTTGTTTGGACAAATTTCCACAAAGTGCCCCAACTCGCCGCATCCATAGCATCATTTCTTTCTTTGCTCATTTCTTTGATCGGTGAAGATGAAATCTTGAATTTGGATGGGCACACCCTTGACATTGAGCCTTTGGATCATCTTCTCCACCTTATTGATAAGTTTGATTGATTCTTCATCAAGGTCGGAGGTGGAGGAGGAAGATTGATCATCTTCACTTGAATCTTCATCATCATCATCTTCTTCTTCTTTTTCTTCTTCTTCACTTGAGGAGCTTGAGCTTGAGCTTGTCTCAACTTGCTTGTCCTTCATCTTCTTTTTCTCACTACATGTGAGAGCTTTTCCTTTGCTTGATGAAGAGGCTTCTTGTTGACCCATCTTGTGTGACATTTCAAATACCACTATCTTGCCAATGACTATGGCCAGGGTCGTGGTGCTCAAGTCCTCCATGTTGTGAAGGATGGTGGTGATGCTTGCATATTTGTTTCGTAGTAGCATGGAGATGATCTTCCCCACAATGTCCGCATCATCTGGATTTGTTAATCCTATTGAATGGAGCTCATTGATAAATAGATTCCAATAAGAATACATATCATAAACAAGCTCATCATCATTCATTTTAAAGGAATCATAATTTTGTTTAGCTAGACAATGTTTTTACTCACGGACATTAGTTGTGCCATCATGGAACTCTTGGAGTTTTCACCAAATTTCATATGCCGTATTTAAAGTGAACACTTGGTTAAACACATCCATGCTAAAAGATTCAAACAAGCAATTTTTAGCTCTAGCATTGAAATGAATTTTTTTTCTTCCCTCTTTGTGGGTTTATCAGGATTCTAAATGGGTTTCATCCCATCATGAGTGACTCTCCAAACACCCAAATCTACCGCCTTAAGGTGACAAGCCATTCTAGCTTTATAGTAAGGGAAGTTAGTGCCGTCAAAGTACGGAGGCCTAGAGGTATCCATCCCAACCACTCTAAATAGTATCGACTCAATGTCAGTGAAACCAAAGATCCAAATTGAAAGGGGACCATGATGCCTAAGAGGGGGGGTGAATTAGGCAACTTAAAACTCTAACTCTAAACTATTGTCTCTTTTTCAAACCTTAGCAAAACCTATGCAAAAAGATAAACTATCTAAATGTGCAACTATGGTTTTGCTAGTGTGTTGCTATCTCTACCGCAAAAGGAGTTATTCAAACAATGTAAATACGGAAGCTAAAGAGTAAGGTAGAGATATGCAAACTCCCATCGATGACTCTGGTATTTTTACTGAGGTATCGAGAAGCGCATAAGCTTCCCCCTAGTCCTTGTTGGAGCCCGTCGCAAGGAATCCCTCGCAAGGGCCAAGCTCTCGGTCGGGTAACTCCGTGGATAGCCTCGGGCCTTCCCCATGCGCAATTGGATCTCTGGTGTGTCTTCCGACAAGCCTCTCCTAGACCGCTCCCTGCCGTCTTCACTATCAAGTTTCCGACCGAACCGCCGCGAGCCTTGTTCCCTTCGGTACACGGTGGCGGCACACACCACAAACGCGGTTGGTGTGATCTCGCAAGACTACAAGCCCCTCTGATGTACAACAATGGTGCGTGCAAGCACCGAGTGGTAAGAGGTATGGAAACCTCACTAAACACTAGGCCTAAACATATAGCAAGCGCATAAACGGTGGTCTAATCAATCTATGCACTTTGCAAAAGCACCTACGCTAATCACCTAATAAATCACTAATCACTATGCAAGCGGAGATCACTAAATTGGTGTATCAACACCCTTGGTATGTTTCCTCAGCTCCACGCTACTCAAATGATCGGTTGAGGATTCTATTTATAAGCCCCACTGAGAAACTAGCCGTTGGGGACGAAACCCACTTTTCTGCTACTGACCGGACGCTGATCATGTCCTAACCGGACACGTCCGGTCACTCACAATGGACACTTAGTCTTCGGTGCGATCAACTAATCGGACAGTGATGGCGTCCGGTCACATGCCACTGGACGCGTCCGGTCACAACTGCGCCGCTCTAGAACCTCTTTGGACTCGATCGAACGCTGCACTTCATGTGTCCGATCGTCTAGTCTGCTGCATCCGGTCACGCTGAAAATATTGTCGTGACGATGAATAGTGTCACCAGTAAGTCCGGTACTGCTTCGCTCAGCGTCCGGTCACTACTGCTCAGCGTCCGGTCACAGCTGCCGACGCCTAGTGTTGCCAAGCACAGGTGCATCCAGTCACTCATAGAGCCACGTCCGGTCACCTCTGCCGAACTCGTTCCTTCGTGATCTTGCGTCCGGCTTGGTTCTAATCTTCGTGCTTGGACTTTGCTTGAGCTTGTATGTCTTCTTTGCATCTTCACATGTCTTTCTTGAGGTGTTGATCATCGGATCATCACGTCACCTTCGTCCAAGTCACGTCTTGCACCCTATTAAACTACAAAATAATCACTTGTAAATTCATTAGTTTAATTTGGTTGTGTTGGTCATCAAACACCAAAATCCAAAGTAAATGGACCTAGGATCCATTTTTCTTACACCGTTGGAAGTTGCTATTTTTTAAATTCAAAATTCAAATAGATAAAACGTAGTCACATGAAAAGATAGATAAAATAGTAGCTGTAAGAAAACAATAAATTGATAGAGCATGATTTTAGAAAAATTTAGGAAAAAATCATCAAATTTGAAGTTAGTATGAGGGAGAAAGACTAGTTATAAATTTTGGCCAGATATTAAAAAGAGAAATCAGAGTTCTTCAACAATTTCAAAATTTAATTTGAAACAACATTTTGAAGTAGTAAATGATTTCAAATAAAAAAGTCTAAGTTGCATAACTTTTCGAGATCTACAACTTTTGTTTTGTGCGTTTCTCTATCAGTGGTTGTTTGAAAAATTCAAATTTTAAATTTTACAAACAAACGTAATTTTTTGTTAGATAGATGATTTCAAATGAAAATATTTGGATTTCCAAATGATCTCAAATTAAAAAGTTTGAACTACAAAGTTGTAGATCTCGTCAAGTACTACAACTTTGATATAAAGTTCGTCTTCATCGGACATCATATGAGAAACATATGAAGTTTTCTTGCAGCATATCACTGTCAGTTCAACCATGAACCGACGGTGATGTCCAATTCTGGAGTAGTGATAATTTACCAGTCAAATGATAGAACAATACATTAGTCAATCACAAATAATGGTGTCTTAATTTGAGGGTAGTTCACGGATTTTTGTAGATGATAATGAATACTACAATCATGTGACCGGAAGGTCCCGGGTTCGAGTCGCGGTCTACTCGCATTGCACAGGCGAGGGTAAGGCTTGCCACTAACACCCTTCCCCTGCACTGGGTACGCCCTTTTTTTTAATGAATACTGCTACCATGTTCCTTCAAAGCATGTTCAGCAACTTCATTTGATGTGTGATATATAACAGAATAAAGTGATTTCATGTACTCTGGGAGTGTCTCATTTGGTATTGCATCCCACCTGAAAACATTTGAATGCAAAATTAAAGAGTCACCTTCTATGAGAGGAGATAAGACCTGGCACATGATGAGAATCTAATGGTATTTACAGAACTTTATTAAGAAATTGTTTTCTTTGCAAATGTTTACAGTTCTTCTGGGCAATGCAAGAGTTCAGAGTTGTTAATTGAGTACATGCTTCTTCTATTTCAAATCTGCTCACCTTGCAATTGCATTTGTGAAGAGTACAAGTTCATCCATGGTTCCATACACATCATAAACATCATCCAAGTAAACAATTAGATTGGAAACTTTAGCAAGCATTTGACGACATGGTCCAAGCTTCGGATCCCAAACAATTCCATTTGCATAATGGAAGCACTCCATCAGACGATCCCTTGCAAATGGCAGCTTTTCACCAAGCCCAATGTTCCTCCACCACCTAAGAGTGTTGAAAAATATTTTTTCTTTTAGGCTGCAAATTAAACAATGCATGTGGCAGGAAGTAAAGTTTATAATAAGTTTGCTTCAAGCTTACCATGTTACCGCTGCAAGATCTTTCTGATGCTCATCTTGAACCTTGTTGAAGTCTAGTTTAGCGAAGAGGAGCAATGGGCACATGTTAATAATGTCTCTAGCATAGTAATCAATGAACCACCTTGTTTCTAGCCATGTTCGCTTTGCTAAAAAGCCATGGTTAAAAGTATTGTTTGCTGATTTTTTATGAGAGAAAAACACTGTTCGTTCGCTGAAATAGTACGACTCATAAGACAAGCGAATGGGGCCTAGTCTTGGAGCTCTCCAGTGCAGTGGAAGTTCTAAAGCATGCGCCACACTCTCCCTTAAGTGTGGCAGCATGGACGGCATAAGTTCTTTAAGTGCTTTAGCTGAATATGTCCTTGCTACATCCAATATTTCTTCATCTCCAAATGCTAGATTAAAGGCCCTCATGTAGCAAAAGAAGTGTGTTTGCATCCTCCTGTCTTGGTGTCTTGGTGATCCAGTTCCCATAATTATGGTAGCCCGATGGCCCTGCAACATTAAAATTGTAGCCATTAGTTTTTTGTTAACCAAAAAGATATCCAGTTATGTATTTGCATTGTAGAATTGTAACGCTTATGTCTCAAAATTAGTTGATTATTGAATGACAAAAATGAAACATTGATTCGAACACCTCAGATTCTAGGAAATCTTTGATGTTTTAGTTAATAAATTTCATGAATGATGTCAAGCATGTCAATACCATTCGATACATATAACGCCATCTGAACATATGTGTGCATCTACATGTGAAAAAAATTCATTACTTTGACAAAATCTTGGTAATATATATTTAGGGTTGTTGGGAATCCATTTTCCCTGAGTATCCTGAATTTCAAGGCTGTGAAAGCAATGTTGTCATATCTATGTTGATCTTTAGCACTCTCATTGGAGATGGAGTACAGGATGTTACTAATCTCATCCTGAAAGTGGTAAGAGATACCAAGTCGTTGCATTACATCAATGGTCTGAAGTTTAGAAGATGGTTCTGCTTTCTCGAGCAACATATCTCTTATGTTGGTCTTCAGCTTATAATAACTAGAAGGACAAACCTGCACCATAACGTATAAGCCATTATTAATGGAATAATATGAAAATAAAACTACTAGATGCAAATATGTTATAAGAAATACTCCAACGATGTTAACATATAAAGTCTATTGGGGGAATGACTCAAAATGCATTGGCTTTGCTACGGTACTCTCATTACCTACTATGAGGTAATAGCTTAAACAAATCATAGCCGTTGATTTTTAGAGATTTATGAAGTAATTAAATAACTAAAATAATAAGGAAGTAGCATCTCTAGTGAATCGTGTTGAGCCTACCTGACGATCATGACGAAGTGTAATATCGGCTTGTAGTGCAAAAAACACATAACAGATAAAAAAGGTCTTCCTCGGTTGCAAGCAATCCTACGTGCATGTAAACTACTTACTTCTGCAATCATGTTAATTTAATTAATTTTCTAAGCTAAATCTAATGAAAGGTTTGAGTAGTCCAATGAACTAAGTGTAGATGAGCTAGTTAGATTTCTAGTGGTGGAATTTGCGCACTTGAATTTATGTTCTCCACTAAACATGGGCTCGTTTCCTTTTCCTATACTTATTTTAAAATTTAGTGGCTCTACTCTTTTAGTGATAGACGACATGTCTGTCAACAACTAGACACGTGTGGTAATAATTTCATCAATTTCAAGAGAGTGGCAGGCTGCGTGGCCGTGATAGTGAGGCAACTCTAGTGGTTTTGTCAATCTCAATATCTATCGGTTCAGTCTTTTTAATATGCTCATTAGGGTATGAGGCGTACATTCATATGGATAAAGGTACATAGGTGTGAGTTCTGCATCTGTGTCGAGAAAAAGTTTTAAATCATGTCGAGTATATAAACGTTATAAACCATATGGAAAAACACTATGACTTCTTTAGTTTGGTTTATCCAGTAGAGAACCAATAATGCAAAGCAGATAGCTTAGACATATATAGTAGTTTAATTTGTGCATCAACGGATCATGGCCGCCACCTTTGAGCGACAGAAATGCGTCGTAATCCCAGGAGCTGGGGCTGTAGTTTTCAGAACGTCGCTGCGGTGTAGCATCTGGCGTCTCCGGTGCCGAGGAGCACCACACCTTGCCCTGCCGCGAGCACCGTGTTCCTGCCGATGGCCTCACGGCCAAGAGAGAGCAGCCGTGGGTAGGCTTGCTTTCGGGCACATTGTATGTGCACTCACAATCTCCATCTTATAGGACTAGTTCTGTATGCATGGGTAATCAGGCTCCTTCTTAGAGGCGTGTATATATAGCACTGATCGAGAGGAAAATGTTGCCAGAACTGTTCAATTCGATGTGACAGATTGTAGAAAACTTGTTGCCATGCGCTGAAATCAGGCGATGCAAGTGGCGTATCGCAATCCCAGTGTGGCCAATTTTTGCTCCGATGGTGAAGAATTATGATGCAATCAGGGATTTAGCGTGGTCTATGGTAAAACTTGTGATGAACTGATGATCCAGTCAAACACCAAGCTTGACAGCTGTGGAGAGACTAGGTCCCTGATCATCCACGTCTTAGGAGCCTCGCGACTATTGCAACCGCAGACAAGGACAATGCCTGGCAAAGCAGGCTGGGCATTTCGAAATTTTCGGTTACTTCAGCTGTATTATTACCTCGGGTTCTGAAAATTTTGGATTCTGATATTCAGAAACCGAAGAAGCAAATTTAAGCACCCATCTTTGCCTATCTATGTCGTCTTACGAAACCCTAATGTGACAGTTGAGCAAGCAATGAATTCTACGTCACCTAATTTATCCTTTTACATGGCACTAATAGGAGATAAATTGACCAATATTAGTACACAAACGGTTTTCAATGATGCCCCCTGTTCTTCTCACTAGGGGCACAGAAATGCAGGCCCTAGTGCAGAGTGGATTAGAGACTCATAGCCTAGAATTGCCATTGGAGAACAATTTCTATAGGCGACCTGTCTAATTAAACCACCAGTTGAAATAGTTCTATTTTCGTTGGCAGTTGCTTAAGTCTAAGTCCAGTTTTAATAGATCATGTGTCTGATCATATCTTTTTAATTTTGGTATAACAAAAAAGAAGTGGCACAAAACACCACTAAAAAAATGGAGCACAAAAAAAAAATACTTAGACTCCATTTTACGCAGCTGAGCTTCATTAGTGAAGTCGTAGTTTTTTTTTATTTCGCTCTAAGAGCAGCTCTATTCTGAAGTTGTTTTGGTACACCGTTTGATAAAAACAGCTCATTATGATAGACGAAAAGAATGAAATGACTACAATATTCTTCTTTTTTTCTCCCCTGCTTCTTCTATTTCGTCTCCTTCCTCCTGATCCACACAGCACGTCATGCCTAGACCATCGGCTTCCTCGAGCATACGACCAATACGGCTGCCCGCTCTCGCTCCAATGACCGTGGTTGCCCGCTCTTGTTCCAGCTGGCACGCACGTCCGTGCCACCCGACAGAAGTGGCACGCGCCCGTGCATTCCGGCCCGATGGCTCCATGTCGGTGTCCTTCCCGTGGGGTAAACCTGGCGTCCACAAACACGTTGGGGGCCACAGGTGCAAGATGAAACTGAAAAAATCTACTAATGTTCAGCTTCATCTTATCCCAGTTTTATGCAAGAGCAGATTTTTAGAATTCTCACCAGTAAAACTGGTTTCAAAATATCAGTTTGGCACAAAATAGTTTTAAATAGCTGGTGCAGAAGCTACGTAGGGTGGGCGTGTTGGGTTGATCTCCACTAATTTGGCCCAACGGCCAATTAGGCCCTTGACTCGCGCCCTGATCGGGGGCGCTCAGCAGCTCTCCTGGCTGGTGGGGCCTGTCGCGCAGCGCTATGTAAAGGAGGTGGGGGCTGGGGTTCGAGACACGAGGTTGATCGGAGCCGTCAGTTCCCCACCGAGTCTAACCCTAGTCCGATCTAGAGGAAGCGTTGTGAGCGACGGGAAGCTCCACCGGACTTCACCGCCGTCACTGGACCGTGCCACCACTACAATGCTACCTCTACTTCGACACCAGTGGCCACGTCGCTGTGGCGCCATGGCCATGACTGCGCTTGGTGACCCAAGTCTTCTATCTAAGCTAAGTATTACCCACTGATCTACGCTTAAAAGGTCCAGTAAATTCTATCAATGGTACCAGAGCTAGGTTTTCTAGTGTGTAAATCTAGATCGGGGTAGAAAAGTGAAAAGAAAGTAGGAGGGGATTCATTTTCTGAATTGGATCGAAACCCTAACCCTAGATCACCACCGCCGGCCATCGCCTCGACGCCGTGCGGGGACTCACTTCGAGCCACCGCATGCGCGAGGAGAAACAGTCTAACCTAACCCTAACCCTAGAAGGGAAAGGATGAAGAAGGAGAGGACCTACCCAAGCTCTTGGGGTAGATAAGAATAAGAAAGAGAAGGAGGGGACTCGATCTGCCAATCGGATCGAAACCCTAACTCAACACGAAACCCTAACCCTAACCCTAGATGCATGGACGGAGATGGGAAGGACCTACCAGGTTTCTCGCCACGGTCGCCACCGCCGCGCGCGGGAAGATGCACCCGACGCCGCCTCGCCGACACCCAGGAAGATGTTGAGCCGCGCTCGTCGCCGTGCGCACGAGCCCTGGCCGAGGACACCGTCATAGGACCGCTCGATGGTGGCGCGCTCACCCATTAGGGAGCGCGCGCTCCAGTGAGGGGACCCGTGGCGGCGTCGCACTAGGGTTTAGGATGAAACCCACCGCAGCGCGTGTGGGAGACTAGGGCACGTCGCCAAGACCGCTCGACGGCGGTGCACTCAGCCTAGGGCGAGCGCGCGCGTCGGCGAGGGGACCGGCGCTGCTCTCTCTTCTCCGGCTGCGCTGCGGGTGGCTACCAGAGCGGTTGTGCTGAGCACTACGGCATAGAGAGAGAAAGTGAAGACAACAATGAAACTAGGGTTTTTAGTGACGCGCGGCGACGGCCGTTTTTATTCCGCGCGAGAATGACGGGCGTCCGTCCGATCAAGATGAACGGCTCAGATAGTCCGAGCTTCTTTCAGCCTAGGCGGGATTGTAGAATCCCGGCCCAGGCCCAGGTTGCAGCCTGGGCGCGGGGGAGCGCAGCACGAGCAGCCACCGTGGGCCGTTTTTAACTGCTGGGCCGCATACTGTTTTTGCCAGGCCGGGTCAAATGAATAGTAAATGCAGAGTTTTGTTTTTATTGTTTTCAAGTTTTGTCAAGTTTTAAATCTCTGTCAAAATTTGAACCAACGGGATAATTTTTCCATAAAGTAGATGACTAAAGTAAAATACTTCTGAAAAGTAGATAAAGAATTTTTTCATGTTTTCACTGCAAAATTTAATGTTGATAATCTTCTAATTAATGTAACACCCTAAAATTTGTAATATTTTGAAAATAGGTGAATTGGATTTATTTATGCATTAGTGTGAGCATGTAACATAAAAAAATAATAAATTTTATCAAATTAAAATCAAATATAAGGTTTACCTACGTGTTTATGTATTCATGCTGCTGCATATTATTTTTGTATTGTGTGGTTTGAAATCAGATTTCAAATTGATTTGAATTTGCATTAAAGAGTTGTTTGGAAAAATAGAAAAGGAAAAGAAAACCTATTTCTATTTCCCCCTCCTTTTTTTGGCATGTTGGCCCAGGCGGCCTGTTCTTTCCTCGCCAGCCCAGCCGCACCGCTCGGCTTTCCCCTCTCCTCCCTGCACGGGCCGAAGCCCAGCAGATGGCCCAGTGCAGCCCCACACGGGCGCCCGCGCCCCACCTCTCTTTTCTCTCGCCGACAGGTGGGCCCTCCTTGTCAGCTGCACCTTCTTCCTCAGCTCGTGTCCGGGTCGGTCACACCATCGCCGACGCCGCCGAGTCCACCTCCTCTACGCATCTTGGCGTGCTACCCACGCTGCCTTGCCTCATAAAAGTCGAGCCCCTGCATTGCGCCGCCTTCACCTTACACAAAAGCGCCAGTTGTAGCCATGCCGAATCGCTGAGCCGCCGCATAACCCTAGCCACCGACAAGCCATCCGCCTCGCCGTGCACCACACCGCCTCTGTCCACTCAGCGCCTTGGAAAAGTATCTAACCGAGCTCGCCTTGATCTCCTCTCTCTCCCTGTGCTCTTGCTTCGTTAAATGATGATCCGTAGGTCGTCTTCCATGAGCGTTGCCCGCTTCCGGCCATGGCGCCGCCGTCGGACCTCGCCGTTGGCCAGCCGGCGTCATCTGTCCCCCGCCCAATTCAATCCTGGCCGCCCGAGTCTAATCCAACGGCCTACAATTGAAGATACCAGTTCGTTGGCATTTTTGCAAAAGAGACCCCTCCTATTCCTTAATCTAACCCGCCGTCCTTGTATATTTTCTTAAGAGACCCTCGGGTTTCTGATTATAGAACCCGCAGTCCAATGTGTAAATCCAGAATACGTTTTCTTCTTTAGAAATCGTAGTTTTCTTCGGATTAGATTAAAAATACGTTTTCATCTATTTACAGTTTTGCCACTAATCTTGTTTTAGCCATAAAATCTATGTTTTAACTCCGATTTGATCCGTTCAAGTAGTGTTAGGTTCGTAATTCCATAATCTACATGTTCATACTACTGTTAAGTATGTTTTCAACTTTTAAAATTCGAGGTTAGATTTAATCTATTATTTTACTAAAGGAAATCTTGTTTAATTCATAACTTCTTCGTTTTAGCTCCGATTTTTGTGATCTTCACGTTTGTGTGTTCGTAGTGAGATGTAGATTCGTTTAACAAACTTTTCATCTTGATTTTATGCTGTTTGGTGTAGTATTCTAATCTATAGTTTTTGTTTGCTATGCATGATTGCTTCTGGATGCTTGTATGTTGCTATGATTATCAGACGGTGAGCAATTCGAGGGGGACCAAGAGTACTACTTGGACGAGCAGGACCAGTAGGAGTACTTTGTTCAAAGCAAGTATAGCATGGGATCATCCTTATTTCCTATCAACTTTAATACATTTAATTCATGTTGCATGTGTCACCTTGATACGGATTCCCTAGAATTGAACATCTACCTTGTCTCCTATGGGATATGCATTGGGTAGCTTTGCTAGTGCTCAATTAAATCATGATCTTATAACTTGACTAATGGTATATGCAATAAACTTTAAAATATGACTGTTTAGCAACTTGGAAATAGGGGACTGGAGTATTTAGCTACTTTCTAAATGCTTTAGATTCTTCTCCCTAAGAATTTATCTA